GGGGGGGGGGGCCGGGGGCAGGAGGTGGTGGGAGGGGCCCGGGGCCTGAGCACCCCCACCTGGCACGGGACTTAGTATCTGCACAGGTGGCTCCCGTGTGCGAAGGTGTGTGTGGTCACGTGTGTCCGGCGAGGCTGTGTCCACCTGTACACGTGACCATGGATGTCACGTGTCATGTGTGCCTGGGCCTGCGAGCTGGAGTGCATGAGGGGGAGGAAGGTGGAGGGAACCCGGCCCATGCCAGCTGCGAGCACACACACGCGCACACAGCCCGAGGGCCAGCCTGGACCCCAGGCCTTTCATCTCGTGCTGACAGGCCCCTCTCCCAGCTCTTAGCCATGGAGAACTCCTCGCTAATAGTGCATTAACCTTGGCGGGGCTGCCAATTACTCCGCACTCACGTTGGGGGTGCGGGCGCGGTGGACAGGCCCTGACAGGCAGCAGGCAGGGCCCACCCTCCCCACCCGAGGTGGGGGCAGGAGGCGGTGGGGCTGGGGAGGGGGTGCAGCATGTTCCCGGCTCTGGATGGCAGAGCGTGGGTCTCTCCTGACCTCATTAGAGTAATTAATGTGCCTTTTGAAGCTCAAGAAATCGCTCAGAGCTGCTGGAAAGGGGCGCAGATCACAGGGTAGGGGGACCAGGGACAGTGTCTTTGCGTCTGTTAAAAAGAGTGTCCCAGTGGGTCAGATGCGGAAAAGTGGAGGCACAGAGACAGAGAGACAAAATGAAGGAGGCAGATGGAAAGAGACAAACAGCGAGACGGCTCAGAGACTGGCCCCCAGGGCCAGATGGAAACGCAACAGCTGGAGCTGCCCTCCCTACCCATGATCTCGGGGCCTCCCTGGGGCTCCAGCCTCATTCTGGGGGCTGCCTTCCCAGGGCAGGATCCCCCTAAACAGGCTGCAGTGTGCAGGCAGGGAGAACTTCCTGGAGGCAGTGGCTGAGGTTGAGGCAAGGAAAGGGGCACTGGAGCAGGAAGAGAAATGTGAGCAGAGTCGGGGAGGGGTCAGCGGGTAGAGACGCCTCAACAAAGAGACTGGGGACGAGGACAGAGGGCTCTAGCTGGAGAGAGGGGTGACCAGCCCAACTATGGGCAATAGACTCTGCCCATCCCAGGGTGGACGTGGGGATGAGAGGGAGCTCAGAAAGAAGCATGAGAAATGGGCTGCCCGGACAGACCTGTACCCCCCGCTCCCTGGAGTAACAGTTTGGTTCCTGGGGAGAAGGCAACAGAAGGGGGAGGTCAGAGGGGGCCGGTGTCCCCTCCAGATGCCCCACCTGAGCCCAGCAGAGGCTGGGTGGCACAAGGCTGCCACCTGGTGGTGGCTCTGGCCAGTTGGAGAGATCTCAGGCTGGGCAGCCAGGGGTCTCCAAGTCACCAAGGCCAAATTTACAGGGACAGGAGGTGACAGGAGGTGATAAGACAGAGCCAGACCCAGTCCAGACAGCGGCCTGCAGGAAGAACAAGGCCCTCAGAGGGACCAATGGGAACTCAGGCCCACAGACGATTCCACAGGAGGCTGACGGGTTAGGGGCGCATAGGGCACGGGGCCCTCAGGCTGCAGGCAGCTCCAGCACCCCTACACCACAGCCCCGGGGCTGCTCTGGAAACTCCCCCAAAGGTGCTGGTGAGCTGAGGTGAGGACCTCTGGGGGCGTGGCTCTTGACCCTCAGGCTGAAGGTGGCACATGGAGAAGGGAGCCTGCAGCAGAGGATCTGACGGATGAGTAGTGAGTTCCCTCTAGGCCAAGAGGCAAAAAGGGGCAGGTGCCCCACATTTCTCTGTTTACACCTATCCTCAGGACAGCTGGGAACCAGGCCAGAGAAGCCCAGCTTGGTTGCAGATGGGGAAACTGAGGCCAGTTCAAGCCCTGCTTCATCACCCACCCCCACACTCTGAGCCAGGACACCCAAATCTGGAGGCAGCAGGGAGCCGCGTGCCAACTGCACAGCCACCGCTATTTTTGTCCCCAGTCCAGGGGGAAGGCGTTCCCAGACAGGCCCCTAAATCCACCTGCCCACCAGGCTTCAGCTCAGGGCTGCTGCATCCCCATGGGCAGAAAGAGAGCTGCACGAGTGACAGTCCAGCAAGGGGGCCCGAGTCCCGGGGGGCAGCTGTCAGGGCTCCTCTGGCTTCCATCCCACACCCTTGGCCAGGCTCAAGCAGCATCCAGGAAGGCGAGGCCGCACAGGTTCCATCAGAGACTCTCGGTGAGGCCAGCACCTATGCCAAGAGAACAGGCCCGGGCGCCAGGCGTGGGCCGTCTCATGTCCTTTCCATAGGATGCTGGAAACGCCACCTCCCCACTGCGGCATCTGGAAGGTGAGGAGTAAGAGGTGAAGAGGACCCACCCCACCAGGCAGAGACAGGAACTTGTCACCACTGTACCTGAGGCTCACCCTCAACTGGTGTGGCAGGAGTGCTCCTCCCGCAGGAAGGGGCAGCCTGTCCAGGCCCCCCTCCACGCACCAGGATCCAGCCTCCCCTAGCCTGCCACACCCTGCCCCAGTGCCTGCCTCCAGGGAGGGGGCAGTCCTCCAGCTGCGGCAGGTAGAAAAAGCCCAACTTGTGTCCAGCCTCAGGGCCTTTGTTCCTGATACTCCCTCTGCCTGGAATGCTCTTCCAGGGGCTGGTCCCATTAGATGCCACGGTGAGGCCTTCCCTAACCCTCCTGGCCATGCAGCACTGTAGTCCACTCTCCACCTCCGATTTAGACCTTGTCCATTAGGATCCGGCCCAGAGTGAGCACCCACTACCCCAAATGCTGCAAACTCCTTCTTCAAGAGATGGGTAATTGAGGCCAGAAGAGACTGCTCCAAGTTGGCCACAGCCTGACCACCACTGTCTGCTGTGGTTATGCTGACGACCCCACCGGTTGGCTGAGTCCTTGGACCCTACGACCTCCACCGGGACCCACCCAACCGAAGGCCCCTGGAGATGGAGAAAGGCTGTGCTACCATCTTAGGTTCTTCGTCTCAAAAACAGTCTCCTTGTCGCTGTCCACGGAGGCCATCTCAGTGGGGTCCTCAGTGTTGGCCAGGAGGCCGTATCTGCTCCGCTGCGGCTTCTTCAACCTGGAAGCAGGTCCAGACATGCTCAGCGGCCGTCTTGGGACCCCCGCCCGGGAAATCTTCCCAGGCATCATGGACATACTGTCCCACTTCCCTCCTTCCCGTGGGACTCTCACTGTTGTCCCTGCCCCAACCCCATCGCCCTGCTGCCAGCTCCCCAGCCAAGCTGGGTCTTTGTCATGGTGATAGCCACACAATTATTAATGGCTGTCACAGCAGTAAGCAGACACCTTCCTTGGCAAGTGCTGTTACAACTGCCATTTCACTGATGAGCAGACTGAGTCTCAGAGAATGCTGTTTGCCTTAGTCTACCGAATGTTAGACTGTCTCAGGCCCAAGCCCCTGTCGGCCACAGTCCCTGCCCTTCTGCAGCCCAGCAAAGAGAGGACCTTCCTGCAGAGGACAGAGCAGGGAGGTCGGCCGTGGAGAGAAAACCAAAACGGGAAGTTAGGGGCCCAGAGGAGATCTGGGCCTCAGACCGGAAAGCCAGGGGCTGCGGAGAGCATGGAAGGAGAGAGACCGCCTAACGCTCCAAGAGGACCAGCGGCCCCTCTGAAGACCCCGCGAGAAGGCAAAGGGAGGGGCGGGAGGGGCCCGAGGGCGGGCACAGCAGGGCCGAGAAAGGCTGGCCGGAGGGGACGGGGAGAAGCGGGACCCCAGGAGGTCCCTGGCCGAGGGCGGGAGGCGGCGGACCCAAGGGGAGGCGCGCGGGGTGAGGTCGGGGAGCTGAGCCGCGGTGCCCAGGGACAGCAGCAGAGGCGCCATCACTCATCTCCGCCCAGCGCGGGCGGGACGAAGACCCCGCGACGAGCGCGAATCGGCCTGGGCCCTGCGCGCGGCAGGAGGGCCACGTGACCGACCTGTCCGGCGACGCGACGACACCCGCCCGGGAAAGGGCGGGACCCGCAGCCCACTACGTGACGCGCGAGGCGCGCGCCGATTGGCCAGT